TATTTGTCGCGCTGCTGATGACGTCAGGTACGCGCTTTAATCGGACGCGCTTTAGTGGACCGCGGTTTTGTCGTGCCACGGTATTTATAATGGTTAGAGTGTCCTAGGGTCACGTGATTAGGCAGATGAACTTAACAACCGTGTTACTAACTTAACAACTGCAGTGATTCACTTAACAACTGTGGCAAGATAGGTCGTAGAATGGGCCAAAACTCACCTAATAAAGATCTCACTTAACAACATAAATGTTGGGGTCAATGGTAGTTGTAGGTCAAGGACTTCCTGTAATCTGCAAATCATGAATCTATTAAGAAATGGGACTGTTGAATTGAAGAAAATGTAAGGATTAGGTTTGTCTAGCCAGAAGAGCTCTTGATGTGTTAATTAATCCATGTTTTGATTTTGGACATTTATTTTCACTTGGTTTGTGAAAAAACATGAAGTAAAGTGGATGCAGTAGCCGCCACTTGCATTGTCACCAATATCATCCTGTCTTGCAAAAACATGTCGAGTGGTAAAATTAACTCTCAATTTATGACCAGTTGTTTAATGAGCATTTGGCGTTAAGATGACCTTGAAATGGTGCATTACAGTTCACAAAGCACTTCTTTATAGTAAAATGTTGCCCCTCCACCCTCACCCCATGGTCACATAAGCACATTTCAGGCACTTTGGCAACCGGCTCAAATTTAAAACTGATTGCAATCCATGTCCCGCAATCATGTGTGATTGCAAGGGTTTTTTTAATCAGTTTCTGGGATTTCATTGCCAGTATGTGGTCAAAAGTGCCCGTTCCAGAGAATGAATTTAGACATACGACTGCATGATTCACTTAACAACTGCATTAAAAAAACAGTTGCAAAATGTAGCCTGGTCAAGTGGATGCCTTGACTTTCAGCCACCATGACATGATTGAAAATTCGGTTCCAATTGTAGTTATAAGTTGAAAACTACCTGTAGTTGAAGGCATTTGCTCGGTATTTTTCTTCTTAGAACCAGACAAGCTGCTGTAGGTGGTTCCACCACAAAAACGCGTTCGACTAAACCGCGCTCGACGAAACCGCGTAGCTGACGTCATCAACAGTGCGACAACA